CAATGCAATATATGGATCAAATCATGAAAGAATGCAGAGAAACACAACTGGAAACAGCATCTGTATGTTTGATTTATAAACCCTGGTGAAATGCAGAACAGCGTGCTTGTACAAATCAAGTAGTACCAGCAGAGGGAATATTCTTATCAAATTTTACCCCATCTGGATCATTTATATCTTATAAGCAAAAAGGCAACCTTTTATAAATTAGTTTGGAGACGGTATTTAACTCGGGTGAAATGAAATCAAATAGAGACTCATTAAGTTGCGTTGGAGAGCACGTCGGAAAAAAAAATTAAGTTAATGTTTAGAGGTTGGTCCTAAAATATCAATCAAATCTTTATATATCAAATCTTTATCAAAATTTGAGAAGGAGCAAAGGAGTTGGAGAATGAAGGAATTTTCAAATGTATTGACGGCAGCAAGATTAACGGTAGGAAGGAACTGGAAAGTAAAGCATGATATTCAATTAAATGGTTTAAAGAAGTTTGGACTATAGTTATTAATTCTAAGTTAATATGTAATATCAAACTAAAGAAGGGTTTGAATAAATAAGAATAAAGAGGGAGAGGGAGAACGTTCACAAGAGTCAACGGAGTTTTGGAAGGGGAATAAACACCATGATTGTGGGCCATCAAGTCAATTCTGACTTAGAATGGGCCTTTTTCAGGGTTTTCCAAGTAGAGAATATTCGGAAGTTGTTTTCCATTCCCTTCTTCTCGGCGTGCCCAGACATACAGGCTGGCTCTTCTCGCAGGAGGCACAACGGAGAACAAGGCTCCCATTATGAGATGGGCACGAACCGCCGGTCTTGAGGGGGCATCCATGGGAGGGGGGGCTCAGAATTGCATTGGAACCACGGAACATCTGTTGGGCCAGTGGCTAAACTGGCACGAACCACCGAAACTCGCGATTCGTGCCCATCTTGACTCCCAACCTCTGTCTCTACAGCCAGATACCTAAACCACTAAGCTATCTAACCAGTTTATCCATTTCCAGAATTGCATTGGAACAATGGAACATCTATTGGGGCCAGTGGCTAAACCAGGGGCCCTGTAAAGGAGGAAAAATAGTTTATAACTCCTAATGGTCCCTGTGGAGGTGAGCTTATGATGAATTATTGTATTTATTTATGTGTTTTGTTTTGTGTTATTGAATTTTTTAAAGGTATCTTTCTTTTCTGTTTGTTTGTATTTTTCTTTTAATAAAAGCTATAAAAAATAAGAAGATAAAAAAAGATTTAAACGTGTCTAAAGGAAATAGTTCCAAAAAACCCCTCTCTTTGCCCTTTCTAGATTACAACAAAGACCAAGCCTTCTGAATCAATGGAACTGAATTTCTGTCAAATGTTTGAACTCAGAGTTTTGGTAAGATTGTCATCAGGATCATAACTTACCAAATCTTTTGGAGCAATTTTGGCACCAGGCTGTATTTTCTTTCATTGCCCTTTTTTGGGACAATTTGCAACTTTCTGTCTTGAATCTTTTATTTTTCATTTTTATTTAAAATATTTTTATCCCACCCTTCTCCTTAAAAAGGACACAAGATGGCTTACATCATTAAAAAAAAAACCCAGTATTTAAAGCTGACAAGAGTGAATACTAAAAAGGATCAAACGAATCCAATACTAAAAAGTGTGAGCAACACCAAAAACACATTCAAAGCTTTAAGATACAACAGTCCATTTCAAAACCTCTCCTAGACAGCCAGTCATGGAGGGAAGGCTTGCCTGAAGAGAAAAGGTCTTTGCATGCTTGTGGAAGGACAGCAAAGATGGGGCCAGGCTGGTCTCTTGTGGGAGGGAGTTCCAGAGTCTCTGGGAGCAGCAACATCTCAATGCCACAATTTTCCTTTTCTTGCTCCTTTTTATTCTCCTTCTTGTGATTTTACTCTTTTAAACCCAAAATTAGAGATGGACCCACATTTACCGAACCACAAAGATCCTGTGTACCTCAGGATGCTTCATCAGGCTGGGCATTGAAGAACTTGGCAGAGTGGGAGGGCACAGAATCTAAAAATCATCCTAGCTTTTGAACTATGACGATTTTGGGACTTTTCTACCTTGTACTGCCAAGCCGGGTAAAAATTCCTGCAACAAAAATTTGCTGTGCGAGTAAAATAGAATAAAAAGTGAGAGGCAACAGGAAAAGAGGAAGGATAGACACGAGGCAGGTTGACTCAGAAAAAGGAAGCCACCGCCTTGAGTGCAGAAGTTCTGATCAGTTACTGAGGAGAACTTTTGGAGGTCTTAAGGGTGCAACGAGACGGCTAAACTGGATCAGGCCGGAGTGAACTAAATAGGGTCCCTGGGAGAAGAGCCAGCCTGGGTGGCCTTGGGCCAGCTGCAGAGTTCCAGGGCTCCCCCAGAAGAAGGGAAGGGTTAACCCCTTCTGAATCTTCTCTGCCTGGAAAGCCCAGAAAAGGGTCACATGATGGTGATGATGATGAAGAAGATCACACACAGCATGCCTTTTTGGGTTATCCTTGCATCCACATGCAAGAATCAGATGGTTTTGGGTGGCTCGGGGGAAATGTCCATCTGATTGCAACCTTCCACATATTTTCCCTTTCGTTTTCGATTGAGGGAGGGGGGCTTGAAGGGAATTGAGGGGCCCTTCCCTCTTTCTGCTCCCGCCCCCAACAAACATCTGGGGGCAAGCAGCCCTCTGGGCTCAGATGCTCTACACCCCCCACCCAGCTCAGAATATGCTACAAAACCTTTCAATCCTACTGTCCCTTAATCTCTTCTCCCTTCCACTTTTCTCTCTCCCTGTTTCTTAACACAAGGAAATTAAATGAATGCAACCCTCATTTCCCAAATGACTCTACTTAGATATAATCCATAGGGCTGTTTTATCATCCCGGCGATGCTCAGCGATACCCCCTTCCCTGCCCATCTGTGTTCAACCCTTTCCTTTAATCTTCTCCTGTACGCCAGGTATGGCTACCCTCCTATCACTTTTGCCACAATCCCATAAGGGTTTTCTGGGGAGGCAGGCTTTATTTTTCTGTCAATGCCATCCTGTACTCTGTACTTGCTTCCTCAAGAACTGCCAGATGTTGAACTGTGCTGCTGTTTCGAATCTTTTCTACAGATCAGTGTGTGCACGCGCATCTTCTTGGCATGCCTCCTCTGTCCACATGTATGCACACACGCAAACGCCCAACGTTTTTATTCCTACATCACGCTTGTATGCTATTCTTCCCCCAACCAAGTCAGAGCAGCAGGAGGCTAACTTTCCACCTTGTATGGCAAATCTGATTGAGTGTGGGATTTCCTTAGTTTTTAAGTTTATCCTGTAATTTTTGCATTTCTACTTGTCCTATCTTCTCTGATTTCAATTCTGCAGCAGCCTTCGAGAAGCTGCTTAAAAGAGTGATTTTAAAACTGCCCTGCCTGTCCACTTTTGGTGTGCTGCTTTTATGCTGTGTGATTGACTTATTTGTTCTTTTTCTGTTTATTATTTACCTTTTTGTTTACTATTAATAAATATTTTCTCTTTTTTGGTTATTATTTACTTGATTGCTATTTGTTTGCTAACCTTCGATAACAGTGCTTTGCACTAATTGGGCAGTATAAAAATGGAATGAATGAATGAACTTTGCATACCTGTAAGCCAAACACTGCTGTTATATTGGATTAGAGAAAGACTGTCTTGTATTTGATGTGTGTTAATCTGCTTGTCTATATATTGGTGTAATTGCCAGCCACCAATGACATTTGAGTAACCAGTAACGTTTGCACCTCTTCCCCTTGTTAAAGGGCTGTTAGCCAATCCTTAACATCTGCTGATAAGATCATTACCATTCTGTATGCTTTTCATTTCCAAGGCTTTTCGCATTTCTTCCTTCACTCCTGTCACAGGTGTGTATAAACATCCATGTTTATATACAGAGGCAGCGGCAGTGACAGATTTGACTTTCTTGGGCTCCATGATCACTGCAGATGGTGGCAGCAGCCACGAAATTAAAAGACGCCTGCTTCTTGGGAGGAAAGCGATGACAAACCTAGACAGCATCTTAAAAAGCAGAGACATCACCTTGCCAACAAAAGTGAAACCATAGTCAAAGCTATGTTTTTTTCCTGTAGCAATGTATGGTAGGTCCCTGGGCTATTATAAAAAGGGGGTCGGGCGTCTGGGAAAAGGTTGGGAAACCTTGTATTCGCGAAGGCTTTCACGGCCGGGATCTAATGGTTGTTGTGGGTTTTTCATGCTCTTTGGCTGTGTTCTGCTGTCCTCTGAAGATGCTGGCCACAGAGACTGGCGAAACGTTAGGAAGAATCACTTTCAGAACACGGCCAAGAAGCCCGAAAAACCCACAACAACCATTGGGAAACCTTGTTTTAAAGGTGGAAGAAGCTGGATTGAGTTTGCAAGAGCTGAGCACCCCTGTTGAGGCTGAGAGAGTTTGAAAGTTGCTCATACATCGGGTTGCCATGGCTGGAGGTGACTTGACAAGTCGGAAGCAGCGCGAGGGCTCAACAGATCAACAAGATGCACGTACACGGATCTTGCGGGCATGCTATTCACACGTCACATGCTTGCTGCAGGAATGCCTGGTGAAAACCTAGGTCTATCCAAGTTTGGGACTCAAAGAAAGTGGGAGTGCGGATCTGACTCTTAATTAGCGAGTTCTGACTAGCCAATCGAGGCTTGTCTCCCTGTAACGTGTGAACGGTCGAAAAGGCCTCCCCGCGGTCTCCTGCCATAATCCTGGTTCTTCCGCTGCCTGCAGTACCGCGGTCTGTCGGACGGGGGCGTGCATCTCCCTCCAGCGAACGCTCGGGTGCCGGCGTAACCATTGCGGCCTTCCGCCGGGGGAACACACTGC